AGGTAAATGTACATAATTCATATTCAAAAGTTGATTTTAAAATATTAAAATTAGACTGATAATAGAATGTGATGTCAGGAAACCAGTGGGAGGCATGGAAGCAGAAAACATGACTGTGCACATAAAGCTTTACATTTTGAATGTAGGTTTAGAATAGAGAGATTGCTGTCTAGAGAGGCAGTATTATTATTTTTTTTAAATTGATCTTCCAGCATGCAGTGTTAGTGAAATTCTCATACTAGTGTACAATGTGAGGTTCTTTTTAAAATTTCAAGACAAGAGAAGAAGGAGTTCCTAGGTGTTACAAGCAATTGAGACTCAGAGACTAACTCAAAGGTTGGGCATTTGAATCCACCCAGTGATGCCTTGGGAAAAAGGCCTGGCAGTCTCCTTCCGGAAGGTCCCAGCCATAGAAAATCCTGTGGAGTTCAGTTCTGCTCTGAAACACATGGGGTCATCATGAATCAGAATTGACTCAACAGCAACTGGCTTGCTGTTTTTGGTTTAGGAAGTAGAAGCTGTGTAAATGTTTCTGTGTCCACATACAGGAATGTGCTAAATTAACTTTTTTTTGTTGATATTGGTTGTTCACTTGTAGGGCACACTTGCAGAGAGGATTCGTGCAGGTGGGGCTGGAGTTCCTGCATTTTACACCAGCACAGGGTATGGGACTCTGATACAAGAAGGAGGGTCACCGATCAAATACAACAAAGATGGTAGCATTGCCATTGCCAGTAAGCCAAGAGAGGTAAGATGCACTCTCATCCAGGTAACACTGCAATGTCTCTTCATAGGATCCTAGGTGGACTCATTGGCGAATAAGTATAAAATCACCTTTGTGTGATGTTAGCTGAAATTTCAGCTAAAAATATATATCATCTGCTAATAGTTAAAATCACATAGAGAAACTAGAAATATAAACAAGAAGAAAGGGCACTGTGATCCATGTTAAGATGTGCTAGTTGAGATTAGGTAGGTATCTGAACTGATTATCTGGTAGATTTTAACAAACTTAGAAATATTTTCATTTTTCTGGAAAACAGAGTAGATATATAAAATTAAACTTTTAATGGTCAGGCCCTTTCTAGATGTGACTGAAGGAGAAAAGAATAAGGAAATCCTAAATTTGTCTATAATTTCAAAAAGCAGTTGACAGTAAAAATTATATGAAGGACTAAGTAGAGAGTTCACACTTACCACTTTTATGTTTCATTCTGTGTCTTGGGATATGCCTGAGCTTCAGACTTAATAACCTAGTTTTATTTAAAGTGCTATGTTGAGTCAGCTATCTTTATAATAGTCAACTTCACTCACATGTTAGAGAATATTAGAACTCTAGATAAAGGTATTGGAGATACCCAGATTGGAGCTGATTTTTAAAATTACAAAATATTTCATAATACAGGTTGCAAAATTGCCAACCTTATCTCTAGAAAAGTGAAAAATTAATAAGTCAAGTGATTCCTTATCACCTTTATGCATATAGTCATGCTATCTCTGCATCTTCAAGTTTTGAGGGAAGATAGGAATCATTGAACCTGTCGCCTGCTGTTTAATGTTTTGGTTGCAGCAGTGTCTTCCATCTGGAGCTTTGCTTTTCTTGCTCAGAGTGACCTATATTGTTTCAATTATTTATTAACCTATTTTTTATATTCAATCTTGCTTATTTCTTTACTGCCTAATTAGTTTTAAAAAGTTTCTGACAGAGTTTAAGACAGGAGCCTTATTATTAAAATGAATTTTAGTAATACGTGACAAAACTAAAACCAAACCAAACCCGTTACCATTGAGCCAATTGTGACTGAAAGTAACCCTGTAGGACAGAGTAGAACTTTCCAAGACTGTAAATCTGCATGGAAGCAGACTGCCTGATCTTTCTCCCATGGAGTGGCTGGTGAGTTTGAACCACTGACCTTTTGGTTAGCAGCCAAATTCTTTAACCACTGCGCAACCAGATCTTCTTTATACATATAAAGATGCCTTGAAATAGTAATACCTTGATAGCTAGTTAGAAGTTGTAGCATTAACTCATCCTGAGATATGTAAGATGTGGTGGAATCTGGCCTAACTATCTGAATTTATTTCCACTGGGAGTCAGCTGCATGAATCTAGTAGTTTTTTAATTTTATCTGAATTTCCTAGGAATATGACAAGTAATTCCTTGAAATGATTCTTGATAGCTCTTTATTTCTCTTGGTTATGTAAGGAATAGGAGTTGGATTAATCCCTTTATTCAATAGTATTTACAGGGACCTAGTCTTTGCTAAGGAGTTCTGATGGTATAGTGCCTAAGGCACTTGACTGCTAACCAGAAGGCTGGCAGTTCAAACCCACCAGCCACTCCT